TGGTTCAAGATTTGAATCTAGCTCTGATACCACTGAAGGTATGAGAGATCAATCATATGGATGGCCGAACCCTACAGGTAGGTTAGACGAAATTTCAAAAATCTCTCCCATGTAGGAATCATATTCCCTATTTTAGAAAACTGCATTTTCAATGATCAATCTTGAACCCAAACCGAATCAGATCTGAAACCAAAAGGTAGGAGAGGAATATACCTGATACAGAGTAGTAGTAACCCCCAACGAAAGTGTTCATGCCCAAGGAGAATACCAAAGACTGCTCCCAAAAGATAACACAACGTAGGGTGGAGCAGAATCAACAGGATGGTTCTTCAACAAGAACCGAATTCTTCAGCAAGAACTCGAGGAAGGGCAAGTGAGCACGACTTCTGATTATCTTGTCTCCCAAAAGATAATATCAAGAACTCTTCTTGATCGCTCCTACAGGTGGAGATCGAACTAGCAGATGCAGCAAGAACAGGAAATGGTAGAAATCTGAAGTAGTCGAACTACAATATTTCTTTCTTGTGATATGCGAACCAGAAGATTTCTCTTCTTTTATAGTCTTGCTGCTCTATTTATAGCCTTTAAAGAGAGGTTCTCCTAATCCCATTAAGAGTTTCCTAATCCAAATCTTGTATTTGGATCTGGATTCTCTTTAAGAGATAAGGATAATCCCTTATCTTATCTGCAGATAAAGATTAGCCCTCGTAATCTAATTAGGAATTTCTTGATCCAAATTTTTATTTGGATCTGGACTCTTTGAGTGGATAAGGATAACCCCTTATCCTATCTGTTGATATGAATCCCAAAATCGCCCTCTTTTAATTAATCACATTAAGCTAGTCCGATTTGGGCTTTAGGCCCATTAAGTCCATTTGCTCACTTACCCTCCTATTTGCTGCCCAGTTATATAGCCTTGTGTGGCATGGAACCCAAATATTGATCTACACATCAGCCACATGGGTTCAGCCCAACCTCTGTTACAAGGCTTGGCCGAATTCAGTGAATGAGTTAGTGAACCCCTGAGTTCATCACCATGGGCTCTTAATGGGCCCAACATTTACACAAAATGGTCCCTGTGTCAAGCCACCTTATAAAAACCCAATGACTGTGGGCAGATGCAAGATTAGCCCATCAGGTATTACCCTCAATGGTTTTACATTTAACCTCTCAGCCCATAATGATCAAACCCTACCCAACAAGAAATGACCTCTCCTTCGGCTACAAGGTACAGTGCTGCACTCTCTACTCACATGGATCCCGAGAATTAAAATATTTTGCAAACATTTTGAAACCATAATATATATATGTATATCTCTATATAAATATATTTTGTAAAACAAATTTCAATGGTTGAAATCAATTGCCGGCAGTTTTGGTTTCCATCAGAGAGAGTGTATCCCCGATCATTCACTTTGTCCGACAAAGGGGTTGATCCCGTCACTATGATCACCCACTCGGATGAATTGTTAGACTATCCCAACATACCCAGGTTTTGACCCCCTCTGAGGATCTCACTGATTGGCATATCAAAGACAGCCCAATCCGACACGTAGTGCAGTATCATAATCGAGTCTAGGGGTCATGTGTAACATTCCAGTTTTGCCCATTTACCTCTAAGGTCCAGGGCAATACAGGAATTCTAGTCCGGTTCAGAGTTTCAAGAAAACCCACACTGCACGTACCTTAAGTCTTACCTTAGCAGTTGAGACAAGCCACCCCAACCAACTTGGCGGCACATCAGTGTCAGCCTTGATAGGATAAATCTCCCCAGATCTATCCAACGACTGTGAAGATTCTAAATTAACACGAGTCTCATATGTGTCCAGTTTAAGGGTATTACATAGAAACACACCATAATAACATGAATCAAATATGTACTTTATTCATTTACATTAAATGTCATAATGTACATTCTGATTGGAGCTAAGGGTATACACTGTCTAACAAATCCGTAGGAAGTATTTAAATTCACCAATGTGAGATTGGAGTTGTTCATAATCCTATGTCTCTTTACTATGACAACAAGGCTACAATAAACATCGCCAGCAACCCGGTCCTACATGAGAGGACTAAGCATATTGAGGTGGATAAGCACTTCATAAGAGAGAAACTGGAAAAAAGGGAAATTTGTATTCCTTATGTCAACTCCAAGGAACAACTTGTTGATGTCCTCACAAAAGGACTTCCGTATTCGCGGCGCAATGAGCTATGTGACAAGTTGGGCATGATAGACATCTTCAACCCAACTTGAGGGGGAGTGTTGTAAGGCTTGAGTGTTCCTTGTAACTGATGTTAGTGGGACAGTTTCAACTACTAGTCATTTCTTTCTTTCTTTTCTTATTGTTCTTATCCTAGGATATGTCGCCAGGGGCATACTTGTAATTTTTCCTTTTTTATAAAGATTAATATAAATAGAAGACTAGCGGCTGCTAGTACTGAGTTTGCTTTTATTTCTATCATCCGTACCTCGCTCTCTCTCTCTCTCTCTCAATCATCACAAGCAACAACAGAGACTATCAACTAGGCTTATGGGTCTTGTTAGAGAATATCAACCTATTCAAGGACCTCACCTAACAACCTAAGCTTTAGGTTGAATGGTTCTCAGAGATGGTCTCAGAGCCACTTTGACCAAGTGGTCTAACGTTAGATTCTTGTCACCCCCATTATAATCAATTAAGTTTCAGAACAAGGTATGGGTGGACCTGTGCTATCCACGCTTCAAGCCCAATGGGCTTTCATATGAGGGGGCATGTTAGAGAATATCAACCTATGCAAGGACCTCACCTAACAGCTTAAGCTTTTAAGTTGAATGGTTCTCTGGTTAGCTGTTGAGATAAGGAATCCATGGAAGAAAACTGAGAGCTAGCTCATTGGTGTGTTAACTGGTTTGTTCCAGGCCACCAGCATTGATGTGGAATCGAATCCCGCAATCAGCACTATGGGGAAAAAGTGGTCAAGGGGGAAGTTATTAATGCACTGAATACCAAATAAAGGTCGCGCTTAGATTAATTTACTTATGACTAAAAATATTAACATTTTTCCCCCTCACATGAAAGCCCATTGGGCTTGTATGAACAAGCACATGCCCAACTTAATTAATTATAATGGGGGTAATGAGGATCGAACACTAGACCACTTGGTCAACTTGGCTCTGATACCATCTCAAAGAAGCATTCAACTTGAAAGTTTAAGCTRTTAGGTGAGGTCCTTGAATGGTTTGATATTCTCTAACAGGTCTAAAATCCATGAGTACTTTAGCTACATTTTTCTTGGGGATTAAAGCAATAAAAGTTGAATTTCCTCCTTGAGAGATTTCCCCTTCATGAAAAATCTTTCATTAGGTCATCTTTTATGATTTCCTAACATTCTTGATAAAAAGCCATGGAGAATCCATTTGGTGTCGAGGCTTTAGATTTTTCCATCGAAAACACTACCTCCTTAATCTCCCCAAGTGCTAACATACTTTCCAGGTATGCAAAGAGGTCCTCTAGCACTCTATCCCAAGCCTAGTCTAGGAGGTTTGAGCTTCGCACCCTTGAGGTGGCAAATAAAGCCTTAAAATGGTCCACCAAAACTTTGATTACCTTCTCCTCCCTTGTTACCCCTTGACCATCCACTTCAGTGCTAGCTATTAGATTCTTCTCCTTCCATTAGCTAGAGAATAAAAGAAAATTTTGTGTTACTATCTCCCTCCTCCAGCCATTTACATCTAGATTTTTGCCTCCAGGAAATTTCTTCTTGTCTCAACTTTTCCTGTTCAAACTTTAAATTTTGTCTTTCATCTCTTTCCTCCCCACTGATTTCTCTAACAGCCTCTTTACCATCCAACTCCACTATCCTTGAAGAGATTCTCTTCTTTGTTTCCTTCACCCTCCTAAATTGTTCTTTGTTCCAAGCCTTAATTTTCTTTTAACTTTTTCAAGCAACTAGAGAACCTTAACCCCTTCTTTGTACCACTACCCTTAACTTCTCCCTACCAACTCTTACCTTCTCCACAAAGGTGGGGTCCTCCAATCACAGGTTTTCGAATTTGAAGGGTGAGGGACCTTCGTAGGAAAAATTCTGAGCTAGGCTAACAGGGAGGCTACTCTAGACATGGCTCGAGAGGTTAAACTTTCTCAAATCTTTCCCAATCTACTTAAGAAAGGAACCTATCCAATTTAGAGCAAGTCGGGGACTCCTAAAATTTTGAGCAGGTGTACTAAACTCAAAGATATCCACGAAAGCATTTAACTTTCTCGTGCTTGTAGTTATTCTTTCGCTAGGTTTGTTGGTTCCTGATGTAAATCTTATGACATTAAAATCACCACCCAAATACCAAGGTCCCTCCCATAAACCTCTAATTGCCCCCAACTCTTCCCCAAAAAATCCCCATCTCTATAGGAATTTGAACCATGAACATTTGTCAAAGCCCACTCTCTGCCATCATTGGATCTCCTAATTTTTATTGAAATGGAAAATTGCCCCACCAGTTCTTCCAAGCATTCCAGTTGTCATGTACCATGGAGTAAGAGATTCTTTGAAAGCTGAATTAATAGTGTTACTGCAAGGCCTAAGAATTGCAAAGCAATTGGGCTTCCAACAATTGGAAGTGAAAGGGAACTCAAAGTTGGTCATATCTTGGACAAAGTGCAGCTGTCATGTACCTTGGACATTCAGGCATTCTTTCAAGGAAGTTGAAAGCCTGTCAATGCACTTAAATGCTAATTTCAAATGGGTGAGAAAAATAGGAAATGGGATGGCTCATGCTCTAGCAAAACAGGGGGCCATGAGACGGTAATTGTTTTGGGCATCTTTGTAAGCCTCTAATRAATTTTTGTGTTGTTGGATATTCCAGCATATTTTACTAAATTTAAATTTAAATTAATAAAATCTACTTTACTGATCAAAAAAATAAAATAAAATAAAGTTTTAAAGTAGATGAAAACATATCCTCCCACTATGATAAATAGTTATCAGAGGATCCATTCAATGTGAGTTAGCTGCTATTCAAATATCAATGCAGAAAAAGGCCTAAACAAAGGAAATTTCAGTAACTACCTTTCCCCTCTGTTTATATCCAAAGATAAGATCTATCCAATTATGCAGATTTTCTGAAACATAATCTGATTCCAAAGCTTCCCGGTGCTTCCTGATGAACTCTCTGGCACTGCCTTTGGCCCATGGTGGCAACAGAACATCACCAACCTGAGCAAATACCAAATTGCAATTTTCAGTGAAATGAAACAAGTCAAAATTTTGCAACCAATGGTACCCTTCAACAGTACAGTTCTCAGAAATATCTGTGAAAAGTCAAAATTAACTAAAGATTAGAAAGTGAAATTAACCTTCTCTCCTGATTGTTTCTCCCCTAAATCAAGATTAAACCGGTTTTCCAGGAACTCGGGCATGTAAAAGAATTCTGGAATGAGCTCTTTCACATCTGATGTATTACCCTTCCCTGCTGCACTTAACCATGTATCTCTTACATTATTGAAAAGGCGATCGGCATGGTCAAATTGGCCTCCTTGCAGCTTCTGATTCTCTGTACTGAATGGGGGAAGGCGTAAAAGATAAAATAATACAATTCCCCCACTAGAAGAATGTGAACCATAGTGAAACTTCGAAACATCTGGCTCATCCCCGCTTTCATATCTGATATAACAAGAGAAGACAAAAAATAAAATAAAATAAGAACATCAGGGTGGTTGCGTAGATCTCTTTGAAGGGAAGATGATATTAGCACCATGCCAGTGAAGCAAGTAGCAGATGATCAACTTATTTAACCATATAGAAAATTTGGTCACAGATGAGAAATAAAAGATAAAATCACCAAAAAAGAAAAAAAATGGTAACATGATAGCAATGTTTTAAAACGCGGAGGCGTGATGTGAGGCATTCCACTACTTAGAGGCGTGAGGCGTAGTTCAGAACGCAAGAGGCGTAAGCCTCCTTAAGAGGAGGGGGGTTATGAGGAGGGGGAGGAGGATGAAGAGGAATGGAGGATCTCATTTTTTCTTTATTTTTAATAAAAATCTTTTATATTAAGAAGAATAAAGATGCCATCCCCCCAACTGTGCGGATGCTATCATCAATCACGCATTGCCTACAAATGTAAATATCCCCATGAAGATGACCAACGCATGGTATACTTGAAAATAACAAAACAAGGAACTTTAATAAAAAACTAAGCACATTTTCCTGGAAGAAAAAAAAGCAAATTGCAAAAAAGTTTGTTGCCAAAGTTGAGGTCTAATAGCATACCCCCAATAGGAGAAGCAGCAGCTGACAATGGATCAACTAAACTGAGAATAGAAAGAGTCCCAGTGGCTCGAAAAGCTTCTGAGGATGTTCCATCGAATGCAAATATAAGCTTCTTTCCAGAAATCTGTAATGAAAGGTTTCCAAGTCTCTCTAAGTCCCAAACAATCCCACTACCATCAAACTTAGGGTTCCCTTGTTTAGCACCATTGTCAAGCTTTTGAATGTTCGATACCATAGGTAACTCAGCATCCAATGAATCCAAGATAGCCATGCTACCCCCACCACAAGCATGGTTAGGAACAAATTGTAAAAGATCTGTATCTTGGAAGAGCCCTCTATTCCTCTACCAAGAACATACATTAAGCAAATACTACCTGATGTCAGAACCTCATCAAAAAGATAACAGCAGCGGAGTCTCCATGACAATTCACTAACTTTTGCACAAGTAACTGGTGTCCCAATTGTTACCTGCAAGGATTTCCCCGCTGGGGATGGTGAATACCCTAATTTTCCTGTATGTCTCAGTTTTCCGTTGATATACACATATGCTACACTAGTTTGGAAAAATCCAGCTAAAGCTTTAGGTTTACTATGGACAACAGCAAGGTGATGCCACCTGCCTTCCCTCCAATTCCAATCCAAAAAAGACAAGGAACGGGAGCTGCTGGTTGGAAGAGTTAAAACACCATCATCCTGAAGATAAAATTCTGTATAGAATGTGTTGCTATCATCCACTGCACCAACAGAAAAGATCCAGAGAATATGACATCCCAGTTGCTGACCATTAGAGGTACTTCGCTTTTTAGAAGAACCAGTTTGCAAAGGATTTTCTGGGTCCTTTGTCTGTAATTTGAAGAAATTTCGATACTGAAACCAACAGACAAATGAATAACCAGCCGCAGGAGGCCATGTTCTTTCTCCCAAAGATACTTGAACAGAAGCATGGGGGAGGTAAACTCTCTTAACTCCCCCCAAAAAATATACAACATTACAATGTAGCCCAAAGTAACTGATCTCTTCCCACCCCTTGTTTAGCAAGTGCATTTGCAAATGAATGACCTTGCTTACTCAATAGTCAATACAAATCTCAACTTGCTAGAGAGAGATTAAACAATTCCACATTAAATAACTAGTATCAGGCCTTGCTTAATATAAATCTGAACTTGCTAGAGAGAGAGGGAGAGAAAGAGAGAGAGAGAGAGAGAGAGAGAGAGAGAGAGAGAGAGAGAATAAACAATTTCATATTAAACAACTAATATCAGGCCTTCAATAAAAATCTGAATTTGTGTGTGTGTGAGAGAGATAGAGAAAGGATAATCCATGAAATGTTCTTCTGTTTCATTGAGCTTAGACTTAACAATAACTTAATTCATCCTAGCATGGCTAAACCTACTTAATATCAATTCAGGTTATTTGACATTTTGTTGAGATGCTCTTTGTAGTTTGTATTGCCTTTTAGATAATATTTTAGAAAAATATGCAATAGTCTATGTTATGGAATATATCAGAAAGTCTACTTGAGCAAGAAGGTGAAACACAGATCTAATGACTAATAATGAACCATCTACTACTTGCAAATGGCAAGTCTACTTGTAGAATTAAATACACAAATAACCCTCTTAATGAAACATATCAGAAAGGTTGTCATATGGAACATAGAAGCAATCAAATAAAAAGATGACCATAATTGAGAGGGTTCTACATGCCTCTTATTGTATATAAGATGCAACCAAAACTTATTTACCAAGTGCAGGGAAGTAGCTCAGATATATAACACCTAATGAACAGTTGCTATATATATATATATATATATATATAGAGAGAGAGAGAGAGAGAGAGAGAGAGAGAGAGGGAGAGAGATGATGATGATGAGTGTGAGCACCTCATTTAATGGAACACCTTTCACAGACTAAATGGACTTAAACCAGAGATCTAGATCCCCACACATAATTCAACATTTGAAAATGTTAGTTATAGGAATTATAAATAATAAATGGAAGAAAAACAATTTTTTTTTTGGAAATTCACTTCTTTCAAATTAAAAAATTAATATAACACACAAATATTATCCTTATTTCACTTCCAACCAAACCACCACTTTTTATTGCAATGACATTTCATTATATCTCAGATTTGATAATGTTGTGAGAAGGTCAATGAGAAAAATCATAATGTTGCCCTTTTGTTTTAAAATATCAAAAATATAAAATGGAATTACTATTACCAATAAACCGCCACTTCTTATATAACCAACAAGTCACCATCCTTCTATGTAAACAGAGGCACTAACAGGTGCAGTTAGGTCTGCAACACATGACAGAGCTTCAATTCTATTGCTCTTTATCTTATGCAAGAACAATTACCAAAAAAACCAATGCAACAACAACAAACAACAATTACCAAAAAATCAAAACTGAAACACAAGGTGCCAACCAGCGGGTTGGTAAGGTCTCCTGCTGGCCGTAGCGGAGACTTGAGATTGAATCCCACCTCCACCTACACCTGGGTTGGGGGGGAAGGGGGGTATGGGTTGGGGGATGGGCTACCCCCTGTTGTGCAGCCCCTTCAAAAGAAATCAAAAAAGTCAAAACTGAAACCAGTAAACAGAAAGCAAAAACCTCAAATAGGAGAACCAAAACAGCGATCCCTGCAAAACAAACCAGTACAACAATCCAAAAAGTAACCAATAGCTAGCCAGAACATAACATCAATGAAAATGAACACGGAGGAAAAATTGAACCAACAAATGGCTACCCTGGTACAACCGAACCTACTGATCACCAAACAAAACAACAAATTCATACAAAAGCATCGTATCCCTACTGCTCTCCACCTAACAAGGTTTAGATGGGAAAAGGGCAAGACCGCACACAGATAAAGAGGAAGCTGAAGATCACCGAAGCCAAAGCAAACCTTTAGAGAGACAGAGAGGAGAGAAAGGATACATGACAAAGAGGTGAAAATCCACCTTATCTTCTCCTAAGTAAACCTTTACAGAGAAAGAGAGGGCAGAAAGAAAGGATACATGACAAAGAGGGAAAATCCACCATGTCATATCCCTTCTCTTTGGATTTAATAAACCTGAAAAATAGAGAGAGAAATATCTGAATAACTACATAGTCCATATGAACATCCATCTAACCGCCATATAAATTATTAATAGACTAAACTGTTGTTCAAAAATCAAGATCTTAACTTAATATACATGATCAAAGCCGCCATGATATAAAATTGAAAAGGTTAATCATGAAGTACAAAAATGAAAATAACACAAAAACCAAAATAAATTATTACAGAGACAACAAGTGGTGCTTTCTAGAAGAAATGATGATAAACTATTAACAAAAGAGATGGATGGTGTAGCAAACTTGAGAGAGGTGAGCGTCATGGAGAGAGTAAGAAATGTTGGGACTCAAAGAACCTCCTCCCACCTGCAAAAAAATTAATATTAACTCTTGCTTTTTGAGAGTGAAGTGTCCAAAGTGGACATGAGAGGTGGAAACCCTCTACACAAACCCTAGAGGGACACCAATACAACAGAGAATCCAAGAAAGAAAGCCTAACAGTGAGACCATGGTAGGTTCTTCTATTTGTGAAACCCTAACAGAAACCCTACAAAAATGAACAAATAAACCCTTGATGAACCCTTTGTTTTCCTTTCGTGAAGAAACTCTATCCAATGATGCTAACGACAGCAAAAACATAGATTCCCAAAGCCATAGACAAAGCACAGAGGTCACAAAGTAGAGAGAGAGAAAGAAAGAGAGAAAGGGAAGGCCAAGGGAGAGTGGAGGGAAAGGTTCTAGTTGAAAAACAGTCATCTTGATGTATGGAACTGCTTGAGATTAGATGCAAACCAGAAAATAAACAAACAAGAGATGATTAAGAGGAAGAAGAGAGAGAGAGAGCTGGCGGCAATGAGAGTTAGAGAGTGAGAGGTTCGAACTAAACCTCCCTCTAACACTCTAAACATTTTATTAAGTTAATCTTTGAAATATTACAAAGAGGCCCTTGAGTGGGCAAGAAATTACAAAAACAGAACATTACAGAGTATGGGCCCAGAATAAGGCCCATTACAGAGGGAAACATAACATAACATGAAATGACAGTCTATGGGCCATTCGGCCCATCTCCTCTACAGTTCTGGAGGCATCGAACACGATGGAGGAGTTGAACATGAGTGGGAGCGGGAGGCGGAGGCAGCGACAAATGACAGTGAAAACATAGGATGTCCGAAGCCATAGACAAAGCACAGGGGTCACAGACAAGTGGTAGCGGCCAGTGGCAAACATTGAAAAGCCACAAATAGAGAGGTGAAGGAGGCAAAGGCAAGGCAATATCAAGAGAGAGAGAGAGAGGTTTATAACAAAGAGAGAAAGCAAGGAAAAGGTAGTCTAAAGTGAAATCAACACTTTAGACTAGCAGAAGAGAAGGCCTTCCATGTGTTTGTCTCCTAACCAGTGTGTACTTTGCAGGGCTAATGGTGAGGATTGCTCCCACTTACTTTTAACCTGTTCTTTTTCTGCTGCTATTTGGGGTTGGATCTTTGCCTTGTTTGGGTGCAGGTGGATTTTGACTACAGCCGTAGATCAGCTCTTTGACCCCTCCTTTGTGTG